TAACCCAACGTGCGACAGCGACCACGCTATGGCGGTTCCCGTAACCAGCTTAACATACACCGTACTATGCTCTGCTGAGGCTGAGTACATGACAGTGCACATTAGCCGGATAGGTGCCGGGCGTCAGAAGGCAACAGACTTAATATTCGTGAGGGATTTATAATTTCGATCTCACCTATCGACATGGCCGCGCACATGTACATTATTAGCGTTCAACATACATTCAACATGCATTCACAAAACGCAGTAAATAAACGTGTAATGATTGTGGCCCCTAAAAGAAATATAAAACGATAGCTCCCACTGGCTTCCGGGCACTTGGACTTCGGGCTATCTCCATTCTTTTAGATTTCTCCAAACGGTCTTCAAATCTTTTCGTCTTCAAACCACCACGTGAGAAAAGAATCCTCAGTTGAGGTAAGAGAGAGAAATAGATTTACAACAAGAGTTTAAGAGATAAGGCACGACACGCAGGCCGTATTATAATCAAATAAACTATAGCCACAATCATCCACCATGCATATCATACATCCACACAGGCAATAGAGATATACATACACCGGGTGAACCGCGCTCACCCCAGACAGTTCTAAGAAAATACTACGGCAGTAAATATTTTCTAAAACTCATAAAATTAAATTAGATGTCCAAATAAATCTAATAAAATTTTATAAAATCATTTTATATACTCTGGATATTCTGCCAGCATAAAAAAATCCAGAATATTCCAAATGACCAAAATGCCCTTTTGCAAAATTATATTCAAAAGGCCATTAAAATTTTGAAACAATTTTGCAAAAATCATGAAAATTAAATTTCAACTACCAGTAATTATTTTCAACATTTATAAACCTGGAAATAAAATTTCCAAAATTTATAAATCATTATTTCCAAAATATATTAGTTAAATCTTAATAAGTTATAAAAAGCCATTTACATTATTTTCGAAAACATTAAATTACAAAAATTTAATATTTTGAAAAACATTCCCTTTTCTTACTGAGATATAACTTTCCAATATATATTAGCCATTTATGTAATTAAAATACAAATATATAAATATATATAATATTTCGGTAATAATACCGAGTATATATATATAAATATATATTTATTTAATTACTAACTAATATTATTTTGTACAATATATTTACCAACAACCTTATTTAACTTAGAAATAATATTTCTAAGCTTAATAAAGTTCATTTTGAATTTTCCCATATTTATTTTCGGTTTTTACCTAAATAAATACAATAAATTCAAAATAGGAAATAATACATTCAAAAATTACAATATAATTTTATCAATCATAAAATGATGTTTTATGTCCAAATAAAATTATATTTACTATTTCTACAATATATATAAATATATATTTCGAAAAATCAAAATATATATATTTATATATATATTACGGGTAGAAATAAAATAAATAAATTTAAAATTCATTTTCAATGATTTATTTAAGTCCAATACTTATTCCAAGACTAAATAAAATCATTTTACCAATTTTTGAATTTTAAT